AACAAAATTGTTTAATTATATAATTATTATTATATATTTATATATATTTTTTTTTTGTTTAAGCAATTTATAATTGTCAATAATATTGTTCATCAATAATTTATTATTAACAAAATGTCTGTGAATAAAATGTTGTCTTGGATGCTGTACAGTGTACTGGTATACAGTGTCAGATAGGACATATAGCATTAATGTCTGGTTGTATGGATTAATTTTAATGAGTGCATGTGCAAATTAATTTACACATTTTTAAATATATGATAGATTTTAATTATTGGAAAAAAGATATTGAAGAAAAAGAATTGTGTCAGTATGTAAAGTCAACATCATCAAAAACAAATGAAGATAAAAAATACACTTATTATTATTGCCATAGGTCATTTGCTCCAAGAATCACGAACAAAGTAAATTGAATATTCTATTATTATTTTTATTTATTTTAATAGTTAATAACACTTCTGATAATAATAACATATCATAAAACAGGGGTATAAATCTTCAAAGAGTGGTGGATCAGTTAAGACTGGTCATGTTTGTTCATCTAACATAAAAGTGCATATTGATCACCAAAATATAAAAGTAAGTTTTTGTAGTACTCATCTATGGCATACACATGACATTGGAAAACAAAGATTATTTGTTGAAGATAGAAGTATGAGTGCAGGTGGGTTCTTATTGTGTACATATATTTTTATCGAAACAATTATTATATCAAGAAATAATATTTTGTACAGGAAAATTAGCTTTGGGTGTACCAGTAAATAGGATACTAGATGATGTACGATCTTCAGATATTGAGGGAGGGATTAAAAGAATTCATTTACTAGAAAAACAAGATATACACAATATTAAAAGGTCTTATAATATTGCATATACAACTAAGAAGCATGAAAATGATGCAATAAGTGTGAATATTTGGGTAAATGAAATGATGGCTAAAGGCGATAAAAGTCCTATTTTATACTATAAACAACAGGGAGAGAGTGGTAATTATGATTTATGCTTTAGTAAAGATGATTTTTGCCTGATCATTATGACTCAATTCCAATCGGAATTATTTTTGAAATTTGGCAATGACAAAATATGTATCGATGGCACACATGGCTTAAATGGATACAATTTTCAATTATATTCATTAGTGGTTGTTGACGAGTATGGAAACGGTTTTCCTGTTGCTTTTTGTTTTTCAAACAAATCAGATACTGCTCTCTTCAAACATTATTTCCAGTGTATTAAAAATGCAATTGGAAACATAACAGCCGCTGTTTTTATGTCCGATGATGAGCCAGCATTTTATAATGCATGGAGTGAAATAATGGGTCTTGCAAATAAACAAATTTTATGTACATGGCATGTTTTAAGAAACTGGATGAAGAATTTAAATAAAATTCATTCAAATGATAAAAAAACAATTGTTTTTAAAACTTTAAAATCATTATTATATGAAACAGATGAAAATAATTTTTATATTGGACTACAGACAGTTCTAAATCATTTATTGAATGATAAAGATACAGAAGATTACGGAAAATATTTTAAATCCATGTATTCTAACAAGATAGAAAAGTGGGCCTATTTCAATAGGAAATATATTGGGATCAATACCAACATGTATTTAGAAGCACTGCATAAAAATATCAAACATTGTTATTTAGACGGAAAACAATGTAAACGATCAGACGTTTCTATTAATGCACTAATGGCTTTAGTAAGAGATAAAAGTTTTGAAAGAATTATAAAAATTTCTAAACAAAAAAA